TATTATTATTATTATTATTATTATTATTATTATTATTATTATTATTATTATTATTATTACTACTACTACTACTACTACTACTACTACTACTACTACTACTACTACTATTATTATTGCAACGAATGCAACCAAAGTGGGACTTTGCTTCAGGTGGCCAAACATTGTGGGTCTACCTTGCTGCTCAGGGAAGAAGAGGGTGACAGCACACAGTCCGGGTGTCCTCACCATATTTATTTCTGGGGGGTATTCGTTCGACCCCCAATTTGATCTTTCCGTACGGCTCGGGATTATCCGAGGATTTCTCGCCCTGAAACTCTCCCGCCGTACCCGACAGGCGAAGACGACCGGGAAATGGCCCTTGAAATGGTACGCCCCGGAGTGCATCCTTTTCCGGAAGTTCTCGAGCAAAAGCGACGTCTGGAGCTACGGGGTGACCATGTGGGAGGCCTTCAGCTACGGCCAGAAGCCGTACAAGGTGAGCACCGAGGCTCAGAGAGGTGTTGCCCCCTCTGTTCCGGACACCGCTCCTGCTGAGGGTCCGAACACCCCAAATTTGGGTTACCCGCTAGAAAGTGGCTGAGGGGGAGCCCAGAATTTTGGGACCGAATCTTTGTTTGTGGGGGGTTTGCGAAACGGGAAGGATTTTTGGATAATTATGACGAGTCCCTCGGTTAAATGGTGCTGCCTCTGACCCGGCTTGCCAGGAAGTGAGGACACGAGCCGCTGTGGAAAATATGGGAGAGGTTGTAGCATCTTCCTCAAAAGGAAACGGCAACAGAGCCGGGACCTGGTGGCATTTATTTCCCCTCCAACAGATCAACGTCCAGAGTTCAGTGCCTTCTAACGTTTGGCAGGGAGATGGGCGAGTCTTTAGGTGCGAGTCCCGAGTTCGAGTCTTTGGTCCCAAGTTTGAACCCGAGTCTTCAGTCTCAAGTCCCAAATCTGAGTCCTTCTTAAAAACAAGCTTCCCCCCCTTGAAGAAAGAGATGGGGTGCATGAGTTCTGAGTGGCAAGTCATTAACAAAAAACCAAGTCAAATTCAAGTTGAATCCTCAGTGCGACTTACGTCCGACTTGACCACAGTCTCACAACTGGAGCCATCTCTGAATTTTTGTGCCTGCCTCGCTCAGCTGTAGCTACACCCCTGGTGAAGGGGGTTCTGGCATCTTCCAACCGATGCCCTGAAAGCTGGCCTATGGCTCACCACTGGTATTCCTCTGCCCCTCGAGATATAAGCTGGCCGGAAACGGTTCCCCAGTGGGGGAAAAACTGTCCCTCGCACCAGATGATGGTATGTGTCTCTGTTTCCCAGAAAATGAAGGGGCCTGAGGTGATGGCGTTCATCGAGGGAGGGAAACGGATGGAGTGCCCCCTACGGTGTCCCCCAGAAATGTACAAGCTGATGCAGCTGTGCTGGACATTCAAGTAAGGACGTATTTGCACCCGGGAATGGCCTTACCACACGGCAATGTGCAGGGGGCGTGCGTTTAACCGATTGGCAACTAATTACGAGCTGTTTCCTTGGTTAGCGAGAAAATGGGTGGTAATTAAGGAGTTCCAGCTTGGTCCCTCCTGGGGGGGGCAGCCCCGGACCCCCAGAGAGGGATCGCAAAAGCAAGCTGGTTTCCATTGTGTGTTGCGTCAGTTCCTTACTGCTGGAGTCACGGTGCAACAAGATTTGGCCCTGCGGGTTTTATCATCCTAATGCAGGGGAAAGCGAGACAGGGGTCTGAAATATCCCTCCCCCCCCCAGCAACATGATTCGGTTTTGGGCACGGAAGGAAAGGGTGATGAATATCTCTCAGGTCCTGTGGGCCCACCTCTTTGGCTCAATGTGTGTTGGTTTGGGGAAGGGGAGCGGGTTCGAATCGGGCCCCTCCCCCCCGCGTTGCGTTGGCCCACAAGGGTTTATTTCCATCTCGTGGGCATGAAGAGAGGGACGAATTCCACTCAAATCCGCCACTCATAGACCTCCGTTGGCCCACAAGGGTTTATTTCCATCTCGTGGGCATGAAGAGAGGGACGAATTCCACTCAAATCCGCCACTCATAGACCTCGCAGCTAAAAAAAACCTTGCAAATAAATAAATTCCTTTTTAATTTGAATTGCTTTTCCCGAATGCCCGTCCCCTTTCAGATGTATTCGTGTTAAATTAATGTCACCCCCACCTCTCTCCTTATTTATTTATTTATTTATTTATTTATTTATTTATTTATTAAAAGAGAGATGAAGCCTTTGCAGGAAAGGGGAGAAGGTAGGAGGAGAGAACACCGGCAGAGTAAACTAGGGCATAGGAAGCATGAGGGAGAAAGCAGAGATAGAGAGGGCTGGGTGATGAGCAGAGAAGAGACTATGCTAGGAGTGCAACAACAGGAGAAGAATTTGGGGCTGGAGAAATGGGAGAGTCTCTGGAGCACCTAGGCATGTAAGGGTGGAGAGCATCATTTTCATCAGGGCCACGTACTATACTACTTTAGATTTTGGGAAAAGAAAGAACCTAATGCAGTAAGGTAGTCACACTAGAAGCTTTTCTTTGGGTGTCCACCAGTGAAGGGCACCTGTTATTTTTGCAAAGATGTCCCACATCTGTAAAACCTGTACAAGTCCAACACGGTTCCCTCCACTGCCCCAGGAGATAAACAATTCTAGATTCAGGGCATCCGTGAGCACTCTCTCTCTCTCTCTCTCTCTCCTAATTTCTACTCTTTGTTCACTATCTGCCTCTTTCTCCCCATAGGTGGGAAGATCGGCCAGATTTTGCTGCCGTGGAGACACTAATTCGCACCTATTATTACAGCATTGCGGTGAAAGTAGAGGAAAATCTGGAAGACGGGGTGAAAATCACCCCTGCTTAGCCCTGGATGATGGAAAGATGACACAAGACATACGTACAACATCCCCCCACACACATGCATGTATCTCCACTGACTGCCACCACCCAGCAACTCTAGAAATGGGTCACGTGCAGAGTTCTACTTTGGGACTTCTCGTTTTCAGTCCAGACTTCACAACGGAATGGGGAAGAGTTAGGGTTGTGCTGCCCCCTAGTGGTGTATTTCGGGTTAGCAACAATCATTGTGACACCTCGCTCCCCCCCAGCCACTATCCCCTCAACGGAAAGTCCCCTAAACACACCAATGTGAGGTTTTGGCCCAACAAACGCATCAGGCGTTATCTTCTCCGCGAGGAGCGGGTCTTTTGCAAAGCTAACGGCTCTCGATTGCCTATTCACAACCAAACCACCTTAGAATACTTTGCCTCTTGGTTCCATCACCCCACCTGACACCCCAGTCATTGATCTCCACTGGAACTGGGAATATATGTCTCCCCCGACTTCTTTCCTGTTTCAATGGACAAGATGACCACTGTTTTCAGCTCCTTGTGCATTCAAAGAAGGTGAATTGGTGGCAGCTTTTTGTGTGTTCATTTCCAACCTTCTTTTCCTTTTCTCTTACAGTAGGACCCCTGTATCCACAAGAAATCCATTCAGAACCCCTCACCAAATGCTGACAATCGAGGATAATAGCAAACACAATTTTGATAGTGAATGCTACATATAATTCTGGTAACTTCATTGTTAGAAATATATATTTATGGGATTTTTCTTTTAACATTTTAAATATCTTCAGACTGTGGATAAGTGAATCAGCGGATATTGAACATGTGGATAAGGGGTTCCCACTGTGCAATAAGTGTGAGTGTTCACATTGAAGTGTGCATTTAAATAAGCCTTTTAAAGCATGCACAGGTGGAACACTTGTATTCTCTGCCTCTCAGCCTGACCTACCTGTACAGGGTCATTGTGAGCATGCAGAAAGGACAAGCAGAGCTGCATATACCTCGCAAGGAATGTGTTCCTCTCCAGGCAATAACCACAAACCTCCACTTAATGCCTTTGCAAACACATGGATTTATTTTGTTTTGATACCTTTCCCCCTTTGTGGATGGCTTGGTGAGAATCCAACTCCCCCAAGTTCAGTAGCACTTCCGGTGGACAATATATGGCCCGTGTTCCTGATATTGCTCTTTCCGGATCCAGCAGGGTTGAAAGTTATTCAGAGACGCGAGGATGGATCCCCCAGTCCAGACGGAGTATTTCCGGAGCGGCACGGCTGTGACGTTCACTTTCGTGTTGGAGGGCACGCCGGCCAAGAGGTCGTGGGTGAACCTCTTCTCGAACCCTTCAAACCCAGA